CGGAGGAGAGCTTTGCTTGTTGTGAGAGGGTGAGCACAGATGTGGCTGCATGGCTGCAAGGATATTTCTTGGAGGCACTGGTGGTTGCCATGTGTGCCCAAGAACTTGGGTGCTTTGAGGAGGTGTCAGCCCTGCCTGCATACACGGACTGACCGTGCAAGTCATTCTGGTTATGTGGCCTGGCCTCAGTGTACAGCCTTCCATTGATGTCAAAGTGGACTATGGGGCACTTCAAACCAAAAGTCTAGTGCTCTTGGTTTAGATGAAGCAGTTTGAAATGGAGGTAAACTTGTAATTTGTTTAGGTAAAAGGCTTAAGATTTCTGAAGCTAATTGATTTCTTGCAAAGATTTAGTTTTGTAGAATTCAGAGTGGTTCCTCATTCACAACAGGTCAGATTTTCAGAAAAGACTAGCTCCGTCCAGGCATCTAAATTAAGTGCCTAAATCTTAAGAGCTGTATGCTGCTTGGTAGCATTCACTGTTTGCAATTGCCTTTGCCACTTTTTGCCATGCAGTGCATTCAAGGTGAAAATTTCTTTTTTGGTCTATAATAGCATTATGCGGCTGAGAGCTTATTAATAGTATAGTTTTCAGTTAGTCTGAAAACCTATATGTGTCTGTTACAATCTTAGATCTGAAATATGTTCAGTTTGACCTTGCTATGCTATGAAAACGTTACCTCCTTCTCCACCTTTGTTTCCTTGAGAATGTTTAAATTGAGTTTGCTAGTAGTCATGTCTTTTTCAAAACTTCCATTATATTTAAAATGTTATTGTTGTACATTTAATCAGAGTTGTATGTGAATTGTTGCATGTTAAGTTATTTTATAATTTTTTAAAAACAATATTGGGAGGGTAGTCAAATATATTTGTCTCTAAGGAACTGAAAATAGCTTTAAGTGTACAAGATGTCTGAGCCCATCGCTCTAAAACAAACAAGAAAATTATCCTGTGTTATTAAGTTAAGCTTTTTTGTTTAGTGTTTTCTTCATGTTACACAGCCAAATCCCTGTTGTTTTTCCTGTCCTCTTAAAAAAGAGGATATTTTCCATTTTGAAGAAGAAAGCTTCTGTTCGGAAGGATATCAGAATTATCATACTTGGTTGCTTCCTCATTGATAGCGTCTTCCTCTGTCTGATCTGATTTATTTTGTTCTGTGGAGTGTATGTCTATATAGGGAGAGTGGTTCTAGAAAGAACCATAAGTTGTATATTTAACAGAATCTCCTTTATTAGGTGAATGTTTCATTAACATGTCATCCCAGTAGTCTGAGCAGATAAAATTGAACTCTGGGAGCAAAGCTTGGCTGGGAGCAAAGCTTGGCAAAGCTTGGCTTATATTAAAATGAGCAAAAGCTTTTTTTTTTTCCCCTCTTGTCTGAGCTCAAAGCAAATTATTTTAACTAATCTATTTTAGACGCTGAAGAAAAAAAGCAAATAACTGCGCCTAAAAATTGCAGAGAACTCTTTAAATATCACATTTATTCACCACAGAGTCAAGCTGAAAATTCTTTTGTCTTTGGACTTTGTAGGAAGTCTGTCTGGCCTTTGAGAGATGAAAATTCATTGCTCCTAAAAAGGAGGACCTCACAGGCGTGTTTTTTCATTCATTCTCTTTTGTCTTTAAGTTCTTGAGGGGAAAAATAGTGACAAAATGAGGCTTGTCAAGGTTTGTGATACTAAGATGTGCAGTCAATAAATCGGATCGTAAGTGTTTGGAGGCCTTGCTTCATCCTGAAACTACCTGTATTTTTTTAAACAAAAAGAACTATATTGCAAAACACTTATTTTAATATATTGAAGTAAGTTTTTTGTTCCTGTCTGTTGTTGGTCTATATATGCTACTCCCTGTTGTGTTTCCCCCCCCTGCCCCGTCACATCCTCTATTTTTTTTCCTGTATTCTCAAATATATCTAAGCACCATGGAGGCAGGGTCATTTAACCGTGGGATTTTTGTAGTTGTTACCATATAACATCTTTTCCTATAAATTGAGGAAGATACTGGCTGCAGAAAATAAGTTTTATCCTAGACTGTGCCATGATCTCCTGAAAGAGAGGTGCTAGTGCTTTGTAGATGGGTGTGCTGTTGGTGCTCTGTAAATTGTTTGACATTTAGGCATTTCTTAGGAAGATTATCTAATTTTTGGGAGCTAGTCTGGGTTCCTCATCAACCGTGTCATTGTACTTCCCAATACCAGTCCCTCCTTGCTGCCAGAATCTGCCTGTCGATGCCTTTGGTAAGGAAATCCTCCACCACCTTAAAGATACTACTTTTTTTTTTTTTTCCTTAGCCATTTAATTGGTGCCTTTAATATTTAGCAGTTACCCTTACTAACTCCTCTTACAGAAACTGGAATAGCTGCGGTCTCCTCATGGCATGTGAGAATTACATAAGGTTCCTTTGGGGTTTTTTTATTACTCCTCTCATGCAGTGAAGAGAGAACAGAGTGATGGAATTGAAGATTAAAGAAAAGGTGAAAGTCCTTGACAGTACAGTAATACACTCCGAAACATATGAATTTTCATGTTTGCCATCTGACTGGATTTTTTTTTGAGGTGCTCTAGGCCTATGGAGAAACTCAGCCTTGCTAAGCTGTGTTATATGTGTGCTTTACTGAGCAGATATTCTAAAATGTCCTGACTGCCGTGACTGGATGAGAAATGTGAGATGAAAGCCTGCAGGTACATCTCTGCAGATGCTCGAAAGAGAAGGGATCTCTTCACTGCAAGGGGAAGTGCAACCCCTGCGGTGGGACTTGCAATCAGAATTTTTTAACAGTGCAGGTTTTGCTTTAATGACGGCTTTAGAGGCTGGATTTTTTTTAGGGAGCAAGTTGTCCTCTTCCTAAAAAGCTTTTTTTTTTTTTTGTGTTGGTAATATGTCTAAATAAAATAAAATACTGTTGTCTTGAGCTAATCTTACCTGTGCGTGGAAATGTTTGTTGGAAGTTGACCCTACGTTTGTTTCAGTGTTAGTGACCTGGTCGATCGACTATTTACTTACCTAATTCACCACGTTAACGTTCAATTGGTCCCATGTCCAAGAAGTCCTTTTGAGACTCCTGTTCAAAAAGTGACCTAGCTTTGAAATACAGCAGGATCTGTTTCCTGCAAACCTGAGAAAAAATAAAAGCATGTGTTTTCCGATTGAAAATGCCTTTTTCGCTCGTTTTATAGTCCTGAATAAAATTCATAGTTCGTGATTTGGGGATGTAGACAGTGGGACTTGAATAGTTACAGGATGTGCGGAGCTGGACGCTTGACGTAGGTTTCTATTTGTGTTGCTCAGGATTTTGATAGCAATGCGCAGCCTTCACCTCTAGGTGGCAGCACCAGACACTCTTTTCCTTTGTCTCCCCAACATCTCAAATGAGCCAAGGTAGAAGCAGAGAAACTTGTTAGCTCGTATACCTTCGAGGAGAGCCTGCGTTCAGACTAACCTGCATTTAGAGTACAAGAACCAGAAACAAAACCCAGGCTCAGTTAAATAGTCTGCGGAAGTCAGTAAATCTGAGAGCACTTTCCCAAATGTTTCCCTGAAAGCTGAAGCTTTGTGATTCTTTGCTTCCTGTTCAGCACTCGTTTTATTATCTTGACAGAGCGCAGGAGCAGCAGAGAGTGGAAATTCCAAAAAAAAAAAAAAAAAATCTGCAGAATTTTTGATTTGAAAATACTGTCAATAGTAAAATATATTTTGCCTTTTTCAGTTTCTTAAACGACATCTTTGCTTGCTAGTTAATAAATGCTATCGTATTGCAACGATCAGGAACAACATCTGGAACTTTCTTTTATTACTTATTTCTATCATGGCAACTTGATCTGCATTTTTTTTTTTAATTTTTATGCTTTTTTTTTCCTTTGTCATGCATGCAGCTTGGCAATTTTTGTGAGGTTGGAAAGCCTGTGTGCAGATAATTTAATAATAGTCCCAAAAGTGTTTTGTATTTGAGTAAGTCTAAAGTCCCTTTGATTTTTCTCAATGTCATGTAAAAACTAAGCGTTCAAAGAAGTTAATTGCTTAAAGTCTCATCCTATTCATTTTTTGAAAATTGCAAAAAACATTTTTATTTCCATCCATTAGATATTCCCTGTTTTGTTTACCAAATAGGGTAGTGTGACCATCATGACCTGTTGCAAGAGGATACAAGTTGGTGTGCTAAAATGGATTAACTGAACCAACTAACTATCCCTGAAAGGACATAATAGATAAAATAGATCCCAGTTCCACCAGATAATTAAGGTAGGCATGTGCTTTAAAAGCCTGAGTTGTAGTCCCTTTGAATTCGCTGGGGCTGTTTGCACACCAAAAGTTAGGTGTACACTTGAATCATCACAATATTTTTCAAGTCATTTTCTCCAGGCAGAAGAGCTAAGAAAGTTCTGATAGGTGTGGTTTAGATTCTACTAACAGAGAAATACTTCTTTTCTGTTAAATTACTACCAAATATCCATGTGCTTGTTTGCTCTCACCATTTTTGACTGAACAGTGGAAAACTACAGTTGACTGAAAGACAAAATACACCTCCTTTATCTTTTATTTAGTGAAATATTTTGCTCTACTGTCTTTTGGGAAACAAGATTTCTAACTGAGCATTTAATAGGATCTGTATGATAAAGTTGCAGTGATTTTTTTTTTTTTTATTCCACTTCTGACCTTGTACTGAAGTGAGAATGTCTGTATTTACCATTACTGTCTTGGATCCAACCTATTGCATATTTCAGATGATTTTTGGTCTTTCCCATTTTGCAACAATCTTAATATTAAACAACAGTCAAGTCCCCTTCCTAAAACTTTCACCTACTCTGTGTTTGTTGCAGAATGTACTTTTTGGTTTTTTTTTTTTTTAAAGATCAAATATATTACCAACCATTTTTTTCCCCTCCAAATTTCACCCCCCAAGCACAGAATCTTTTTTTAGGGCGCTGTATGTATTAGAGTATACAGTATGCTATTAGGATGATTTTTGTTTTGCTTGCTCCTCTTTTTAATGAATAGAGGAAAATGGTATTAAAAGTTTAAGAAGCTCTTTGAGATAGAATGTGACCCTTATGCATTGATATTTCTTTCTTTTGATGAAATTAAAATTGGAAAGAGTTATTATGTTTTAGTGAAAATCCTATTTTATCAAAAACCAGTAAAACTTTTTCTTTCTTTCTATTCCTTGAATTTGTTTTGTTTCATGCTTGTAAAATAGCAATTCAGAATAGTGATAATAAAACCACAAATATCAAACCTTTTCTGTAAAGAAAGCCTTTGTCTGCTTGTATAACATAATTGATTTGTGGATATGATAATATTTAAATAGACTGACTGAATTTTGTTCCCATACATTTTCTTTAGGTCTCTCAGTACTGAATGGTAAGGTTAGGAAGCATTTTAGCATCTTGCTCCACTTTCCATTTATAATTTTTTTTCCAATTTTTTTCTGTAGTGATTGTTGCATCTGTTGAAGTTTACACGTGATGTAGGATGATACATGGTAATCTTTTACTTGGCTTAATGAGTCCTTGTTAAAAGAAATTTCTCAGTGCTTCCCTTTGATCTTTTTCCTATTAATAATAATATAAACCATAGTTTTCTAAACATTTTCCTGTATATGCCCTTTAGATTATATTTTTTCTAGAATTGCTATTTTTTCAAGTTTGAAAAAATTATGAATCGAATAAATGGACTTTTGAAAGGTTGAACAGGACAAAGGCAAATGTGGATTTTTCTCAAGTTTACTTTGGCAGTCTTGTTCCTCGGGCAGTGAACTCTGTGCGCGCTTGCTTGCTTATTTATTTATTTGCGGTTGAATCGGTATTTTTAGAATTGCTTTTGTATATTTATTTGTTTAAATTCTGCAGTTCAGGCAATGAAAAATAAAGCGTTTTGTCTGCAGCACTGTTGTTTTAAATGCTGCTGCTGAATTTTAACCACTGCATTAGATTGAAACCTCCATGCTGTTAACCACTGAGCCAAAATGAAATCGACCACTGCATTGAAATCAGAGTTGGCAGTTCTAGACGGACTTGAAGGAGTTGGTAATAGCAGTGCACCCGCGTTTCTTTAATGGGGTTTTTATTCTCTGTTTTCAGTTTTAATGGTGCCATTTTGATTTAAAGACTGTTTCTTAATAATGATGCACATTTTTATTGAAATATTTTCAATGAAACTTAAGAAGAAAATAACAACAGAGCCATCCGTTAGGAGTGGTTTCCTCAGAAACAAAATGTTCTGTTGCATACTCCCATGATAATGCAATGTGCTTATTTTATTTATAAAGCAATCTTGTGTAAGAAAATAAGTAGACAATTTCTTCATGTTTCGTGAACCTTCATTTGTGGTTAAAAATTGTAAAATGTCTATGTGTTTTATAAAGTTTTTTTTTTTTCCTAAGGATAGATTTTTAGCTTCTGAATTTGCATTTTGTAACTTTTAACATCTGCTTTACCAAGCCTATAAAAAGTAAGCCTACTTGCATGGTTGACCTTTTAGTATTTGAAATTTTTATTCCTTATTGACAGGACTGGATCCCTCCCAATTCAGAGTCCATCACCATTACCAAAAAGATGAGGAGAATGATGCCTTGCTTGGTGGCCCAGCTCAGCTCACTGATGAGGAGAAATATAGGGATTGTGAAAGATTCAAGTTTCGCTGCCCCAAATGTGGAACAGAGAATATTTATGACAATGTCTTCGATGGTTCGGTTAGTTTCTTTTATGACTCTCTTCTGCTCATCAGTGAGGGGGAAAATACTTGTAGAAAAGAGAGCTTTTTAGATGGGATTTGTATGATGCAGGAGGAGATACCATATTGTTGGAGTCCTGTTATTTATCACTTTGGAACAGAAATTTGCTGATAGGACAGTGCTGAGATGTTTTTCCCATTTCGTTTGGGAACACTGTACTCCAGGAGAACATGTGAGATTATCTTGCTTCATTAATCTCTTTGCCCACTTTCGTGAATGATTGTTACTGTAACTTTTAAGGAATCCTTATCTTAACACCTTAGTAACTTGCAGTTCTCTGTTTAATGAAACCTCCTTATAGCAATAGCAATTTCTTATCCTAAATCATGTTAATTGCAACAGAACGTTTTTAAAATTTATGTTTATCCTTTTACATCCCACTTCCATTCTTGACGGAAAAGTTTTTCTGCGTTATCTTTCCTTCTGTCTTTGTATATTGAACATAAAAAGTCATAGGGGTACATTCTTGTTGGGAAGTTCTGCCAAAAAATGTATCTCTGACCTTGGATCACAACTTGAAATAAGGCCAAGTATTTAACTCTACAGCGATGTTATGCATGTATTAGTCATTGGCAAATTAGCAAGCTTCAGAGTAGTGAAAACCTTGAAAATGAAAGCAAATAAATCTTTTATCTAAATTAAAAGTAATTATTTTAAGTTAATTTGGACAAACAGCAGATGTTTCACATTTTTTTGAATCAAAATAAAGCAGTCTTTGGAAGCAAGTAAGAGGAAAAGACAGACACAGATCGAGCAATACTTCGTAAATCCTTGACTTTTGTTCATTACAGCTGTAAATAAGCTAGTTAATTGCTCAGAGGCTTGACAAATTGCAGATGGGCTAGCTGTAAAGAAGTGGATGTCAAACTCTTTTTTTTTTTTTTTTTTAAAGAAAAAAAAAATCTCTTCCACCTGGAATTTTTAGTGTTGTGTTGGGGGTTAAGCCAAGATGGATCAGAAAAGCTTAGGTGTTAAGCCTTAACTAGAAAAATAATTTTGTAAAATTTTTGTAACCATCCAACCTAACAGGATGTTACTTTAATGCGAAGTCTGCCCACTTAATTTTAGCTATTCACACATTACTTCTAGGAACTGGAGTTTTAATTTCAGGCATTCTGACGGTTTCAGGTCAATGAGATGGATAAACTTTTAAAAGCTATTCTTTGCACTTGGGGAAAATAAAATAGTACCACCTTATTCTTGTTTAATGAGGTGTGTATATGTAGCACTGTTGGTAATTTCTTAATTGATACCTGTAAGATTGATTTCAGTGTTCTGATCAGTCAACTTGGGCAAAACTTTTGTGTCCTTGATAAAACAATAAACCAGTGTTGTGCTGTTTGGCAGGCAGTGGCTTGTCCATAGATTAATCTTTTTTTCAACATCATATGTGGCATGATCTGTTTTGTGGCAGATGAAGAAGCGTGTTCTCCAAAAGACTTTTCAATAAGATGAGAATGGAAAAACTGTGTGTTGTATTAGAGAGGTCTTTATGGATGTGTGGCCAACTGTGGTGGGAAGAAAGAAGGCCCAGGTTTTAGAAATTTAACCGGAAAAAAAGACTTTAAAACTATTCTTTTTAAAAATTGTGTACCATGTCTGTGCAGGTACTTCATACAAAAACTTCTGTGGTAACTCAGCTGTCATCATCTGCTGTCATGATGTACTGTTTCTAAACTTCTATTTTTAGGGGCGGTTTATTGAACTCAGTTTGCAAAGGTGCAGTAAGAGTGAATGTGAAGAGCCTCCTTTCAGCTATGTGGTTCAAATGAACAACAAATTACTGCTGGATATTAGGCGATACCTAAGAAAATATTACAATGTAAGTATTGAGAAAATATTCTGTAACATGAATTGAATTTTCCAAGGGGTGCGGTGTTTATGACTGTCATGATACATCCTGAATAGTACAAAACAGCAGCATCAGTGGCAATACCGAACTTCATGAAAATCAACTATCAATCAATACTTTTAAAATACTAATTTGGAACGCTTATTTTTTCAGATCAGTCTCATGTCAAGATAGTCATATGCATATAAATTTTTATACCTGTTTTTGTCAGCATTATTACAGATGTAGTAGATCTCTCTTTTCCAGATTTTTAAAGGAAGAAGTTCAGATACTTGATTATCTTACTGCTTTTGAGAAAATCTGTGAAGCCTATCAAGTATGCAGATACCATTTTCTTATGTAATTTAAATCTGATTCTCTTATTCAAGTCCAAATTGACTTGTGTTGCATTATGTTGTGAAAAGAAAAAATGGGCCTAGTTATCTTTAAAATTTAAAAAGAAAAAGTCATTTATGGAGGACAACAGGTGAAAATCTTATGAATCTTTCTTCATGAAGGTTGGGAGGAAGAAGAACCAGAGCGGAAAGATGAGTAGTTAATTAATTTGGTACAGAACTTTTATATTCGGAAAGTGCAAGAAATACAAAATGCCAACAGTAGATCCTGGAGTTGTATGGCATTGTGGATGAAATATATGTAGTATCTGAAAATCCCATCTTTGCACTGTTCTAAATGGTGACTGTTAGGAAAAAATCTATTTATTTTTCAGTTGTATTAATAGAGCTTGCATCTCTAATGTGCTGAAGGCTTCATATTTTGTGAAATGGCAGCTAGCCGTTTTGGTTAAATTTTCATAGATTTCCTTCATCCCATGAGGTGCTTTAGGTTTTTGGTCATCTAATGGAGGGCCTGTTTTCACAGCTCTCTGGTTGTCAGACATCAGTTTTGAAGGAAGTGGTAGTATTGGGTGGTCAGAACGTCTGACATCAAGGTCTTGGATATACATCAAAAATTAAATTGTTTTTGAAAATTTGACCTGTAAATGAATAGCTTTCTTTATTCATAGTTCATTTTCTTAAGTATTACGAAGTATATTTTGCAGAGAGCTACATTTCTAATAATTTGTCCTAATGAGTTTAATTATGGTTTAATATTAAGTGTGCATTGTGTGTTTTTTTTTTCTTCTATATTAACTTTTCTTGCAACTATAGGTAAATGTTTTCTAAGCTCTTTTCTGGGAATGTGGTAGCTTCTGAATCTGTAAATACATCTTTTGAAGACCTTTGCTTCAGAAGGAGCACAAAACTTTAGCCTAGGCTATTTAAATTCAGACAGTGCTTTACAAGGCAAGATATTGTTCCTTTGCATTAAAGTTTAAGCTAGATGGCTTGTGCAGGTAAAGTGACCAAAATGTGATATCTTATGTTACTCTATTTCAAAATGCATCTTAAAAATTATCAGTCAAATGATTTTACTAT